AACAACAACAACAACAACAACAACAACAACAACAACAACAACAACAAAAAGTAATTTTAAATGGGAAAATATACAGGTCTTTGAACTGGCATGTTATCACATTTTAATTTTTTTAAATGTGAAGATGCTGTGTGACTAGTATTTTTTTTTATTAAATGGAATTATATTCTACATACTGAATGCATAGTAATTTTGCAATGGGCTAATCTGGCATGGCATTCTTGTTCATTATTTACATTCATTTTGTATGAACATATCTATTTTATGTTATTATAGAATATTTACCAATTTTATAGTTCAAGGAGCAGAGAGTCTGGCAAGTTATTCTCTATTTAGAGTAATTAATTTTGTGAATTCAGACATATCTATGACAAATTTTCCAGTTAAGTATGAAAGAGAATATTAAGAAAAAAGGCAATGAAGACACTATTAGAATGGAAAAATTATGATGGGGGCAGCTAGGTGGCACTGGAAGCCCTGGAGTCAGGAGGACCTGAGTTCAAATCTGAACTCACACACCTAACAATTACTAGCTGTGTGACTCTGGGCAAATCACTTAACCCCAACTGCCTCACTAATAAATAAATAAACAAACAAACAAACAAACAAATAATAATGATGGTTAAAGCTCTATTTTGAAAAGAAATAAAATACTAATGTTCAGTTAATAGGTTATCTTTGAGTTTTACTAGTACATAGCTCCTTCCAGAATCTCTCTTGAAGGAGGGTGCCCAGGCTACCTAGCTCTTCATTTCCACCCAGCTCTACTCCTCCAGACTTGTCTATCACATCCCCACAGGAGGTATCTTCCACCTTGCAAGCTCTTTGATGGCAGGGAATGTCTTCTACCTTTCTTTGTATCCCCAGAGCTTAGCACAGTGATTTGCACACAGAAAGTGCTTAATAAATATTTATTTACTGACATACATTTAGTGGAAAGTATCTGCCCACCCTCACTTTCTGAGTGATATCATAAATGTTACAATACTGAACACAATGTTAGAAATTACTATTTCATTTTCATAATTTTGGAAAAATGAATTTAAGTTTTACTTGAGTTCTGTAAAGTCATTTAGTGCAGCAGAATTTCAGTAAGAGATACAAATGTGTGTGTTCGTGTGTTGCATATGTGATCAACACTCAATGGCCTGCACAACTCAAAGTCTGACTTCCAGAGCAGGTATCAACCTTCATCGGTGAGGGCATCTCCTTGCCCAGGAATATGTCATGCTGATGAAACTGCAGGATCAGGCCCTCTAGAGAGTTTTAAATATGGGTGGCAGGGAGGTGAGACTTGTGACTGTATCAGGGGGAGGAACTACTCACAGTGTGGAAACCCCCCTCCTTCAAAGCAGAGTCTGAGTCATCTGGGACACATTTAAGGTCTTAATGAGTGACCTGGGGAGGCACTGAGAGGCTGGGTAACCTGAAGGAGGTAGGTCACATAGTTGCTAGAGGTCACAGGCAGAACTCCAAGACAGCACTTCGGCACTGGTCACTCTTTACTATATTATTGCCTCTCTACACATTGTGAGGCTACAATGTTTTATCTCAGTTTTGTTTTATCTGACAATCAGTTATCCAAGTCCTGAATATGTTATGTGGACAACACTACTCCATAGCCACGTGAAGCAATATTAAATGAACTATGCTATACATAGTATTCAAATTCAAATGCATAGTCACTTTATACAACATAGCACAAAGGAAAGAATACTCACTGTCAGTATGTCTGTGTTTGAGTCCTCTATCTACCAGGGGCTATATGAGTTTGGGCAAGTAAAACCTCTTTGAACCTCAGTTTCCTCACATATAAAATGGAGATAACACCCATATTACTTACCTCACAAAGTTGTTACGAGGATTAAATGATGGTTGTTAAGGACCTGGTGAATCTTATAACCACATAAATTTCATATATTATCATTATTATTATTCAAGTGAATAGACACTTTATACAACATGGGGAAAAAAAATAACATTTAACTTAAGAGACATAAGATCTGAATTTGAGCTCTAGATCTCCCATTTACTAGCTGTGTGATATGGACAAGCCCTGTCTCCTTAAGTTTCAATTCCCTCATTTGTAAAAAGGAAACAATACTCAATTCATCTATTTCAAAGGGTTGCTGCAAACATCAAATAAGAAAACATACATATATAATATAGCTATTACCCTTAAAAACATTACATAAATGTTATGTTATGAATTTATATTTGCTCTTGATAATTTATAAAAAGCATGCAGTATTAAATGACCACTTTGTATTTAAACAGATATAGCATCTTTCCCACATGAAAGTCAAGGTATTTGGTGAAAAAGCATTTAATCAAATAAATATTTTTGAGCTCTTAAGAGCAACACATGCTAGTAGCTATAAAAAGAGTAAAAGGGCTTCCCTTGAGCTAACAGAAATTATTAAAGTTGTGTTAATCCATACTTGCTAGTCTCATCTTTCTGGGGAAAGAAAAAATATACTAGGGAATACAGGATCATGGATTCTTAGAGCTGGAAGGGATTTTAGAGATCAACTATCCCAACACCCTCATTTTACAGATGTGGAAACTAAGCTCAATGTCATGTGATTTGTGCAAAGTCACAAAGCTAGTTACTGGGAGAACTAAGACTAGAATATGGGCTTCCCAACTCACAGTCCAGTGACCTTTGCAATATGCCAGCTTCCTATTAAATTATTCATTTGATCTTATTAGTAAAAAAGAATGTTTGGAATCCAAAACCTGGAGGATGAACATTTAATCATTACTACTTGCACTGAGGGTTGGATCACAAGAAAATAAGTGGGAATTTTATCTTAGGTTAATTTGCCCCTTAAATGTATTTGCAAGGTCTATTTAGAATAAAATTATTCAGTGAAAACAATCAGTTCTGACAAACAATGAAATAATGTAAATATTTTTAAAGTAAGCAATGATATTTAAAAAACCTACCTTAAGCCATAACAAGGCAAAGTGAAGAATCGGAATAATGCCAGAAAAACTCTCAAAGGAAGTAAGGTGAACACATAGAGAAATGCATCCAGGCACAGAAAGATTCCAAAAATCATAAGCTAGATTTTTTTTAAGAGAAAGAAAACAGTACATTATTTTTTAAGTCATTTAGGAAACCAAATTTTTAACAAAGCAAGTTTAAGAACATCAGGCATTTTATTTCTCATCACTAATTACTTTATAGAGATTTTGTTCCAAAGGATCATCTACAATTTTTCCCACAATATGTCATCCACTTTAAACAATCACCCAGAAGAGTAGCCTTTGAACAGAAGGATGGAATATTGAATACAATTTATTAAGCCTTTACTCATTCTTTAAATGGTTTTATTTAAAAAAAAAAACTTATAAAGATCTACCTCTAAATTTGACTCAAGTTTCTTTTTCAGCATGAGGAAGGCAGAAAGGTGAACTGGACTGAGGTTCAGCCCTAGAGTCAGGAGACTCCCTTCGAAGTCCTGTCTGACATTTACAGGCTGTGTAACCATGGGACAAATCATTTAATCTCTCAGTCCCTCCAGATAACTCTCTAGGCTTTTAAGTTACATAATTCATCCATCTGTATCAGTAAAGGGAGTTTCCATACCAATGAAATCACAGGTCTGGGCCAAAAATAAAAGGTCCTATTATTTGGATAAAACATACGACATAATTTGTGAAATGACCCTTAATGTTAAAAGAAAATCCACAAATTTCTTTTTCTGCTCACTAATTTTACATATCTCTAAAACGTAGTCCAGTAAATTTACTCTATTCAGAAGATAATTTTCCTAATTTAAGATAGGAATACTTCCCCCTTTTTTGTACAGATAATTTTTAACCTCAACATAAATCTATATCAAACAAATATAGCACCACATTTCATAAACTCAGGCAGGGGCATCTTTTGGAGGTTAAAACTTGTCACAAACTAAGTTACATTTTCTCAAACGTAGGCAATTCAGTTGTAATGTATGCTTAAATAGAATAGAAAAAGGTTAACTTTTTTTGATGATTTAGAGTATTATTATTAAACTGTGCTTTAATACAAGGGTTATATTGAACCACATTGTGCTTTTGCTCCTACATTAAACGGCCTATGTCATTCTTCTATGTACTTTTTAAGTTTCATCTCCTCCTTCTGCAATGAGTCATCACATATCTCTGCTTTATATTTTCCATAATTCTAATCTATCATCATAATGTATACCCAATTGTATAAGTGAGGATATAAAACTGGATCTAGAGCAAGGTGAGCTTCATATCAGATATATTCACATATTTTTCTGTTTTCTTCTCCTTGATTGAGTTGCTAAATGGTTAAGTTTATTTGCTAAAGTCTGTCATTCCATATCCATTTTATTCAGTGAAATGGAAACCATTTCCTCAAAGCTCTTGATAAGCTAGGAACATTTAAGTATCAGAATTTTAGACTTATAAGGTATTTTAGGGGTCACTGAAACCAAGTTCTTTTATGTGATAGAAACTGGGAGCCCAGTGAAGTTAAGGAACTTCCCCAAGGGCTGGAACCCCTGACTCCTCATACACTAACAAGTTTACATTTCTGACATATTCTAAGACTTCATCAAACTTGGATAGAACTACTCACTCTAGAGTTCATCATTAAATTTTTATCATACTGTTTCTGGATATCTTTCAAGAACTTTCAGTCTCTGAGTTAAGTAGTTTGTTGGGTCTGAGATGGACTAGAAAAAGCACTGAACTTAAGTAAGATGAGACATGAGGTTGAATTTTCCCCATGACACTTAGTAGCTATGTGACTATGGGCAAATCATAACCTCTCTGTGCCTAATTTTACGAATTGATTATCTATGAAATGGAGCTAATAAATATCTGTAGTGCCTACCCAGCAAAGCTGAGAAGACAGAAAAGAATTATAAAGTGTTCGGCAAAGTCTTATCTCTCTATGTAGTAAGTCACTATAAAAACCTATTTCTGAAAATTAAATACTTATTTTTATTGAATTAAAAGGAATTTACTTTATTTCTAACATTCTTTCCCATTTTAAATCTATGGATCTACGACAGATCAATCAATCAACATTTATGCCAGATACTGTGCTAAGTGATAAGGATATAAAGAGAGGCGAAAGACAGCCCCAGCCCTCAAGGAGTTTATGATCTAATGGGAGAGACAACACGCAAACAAATATATACAAGGCAAAATATGCAGGATAAATAAGAAATGACCCCTTTTTGAATACTTTTCCCATAGTTCTCACTTATTTTCTATTTTTCTCCTTAAGCGCTCTCATTCCATTGATAAAAACAGTTTTGTTTTGTTTTTAACTCTTGCTTCATCTCTTGTAGGAATTCTGGTTGAGTTTGTGCCAAGTTTGATTTGATGCATTCTTCGTAGTTGTTTTGGAGTCATTCTCTTCTTCTGAGTTTGCGTCTTGAGCATCCCTGCCAGCATGATAGCTCGCTTCTCTTTTTTAAAAATTTATCTGCTCACTCTTCCAGCCTACTTCCAGACTTCAAACGTGAGATTAGGTCTGAGTTTTGCCACATTTCTGAAAGGAAGGTCTGCGCTGGTCCTATTGCTGCTTTTTGGGGAATATTGAATGTTGCATTATTCCAGAATCTCAGCAAAAGGCTCGGTACTTACAAGCTTTCAGTGCTCCCAAAAGGGTCTGATCCAAGGCAAAGTCTGCTTTGCTGAACCTCCTGGTCTGAGCTCTGAAAATCACCTGACCTGAGTCTGGTGCTATACAAGAGTACACTACTGCTAGCCTTAGCCCTTATCATGCAGCTGGAAAGCTCTATTGGTTCAAAGTGAAAGAATTGTAAGCTCACCTTTGGTCTGGTTTTCCTGTCTTGAATATTCCTCTGCTGGCTGAGCTAGATTCTAGAAGTGAGACCTTGTTCTGAGCTTGGGATTTGAGTCAGACTACTACTGTTCCTGGCTCTGAATTTCCTCCTTTCTCAGTATACTGTCCAGGGACTCCCTACCTGTGAAAGACAATGTTACCTCTGTAGCACAGATCCCCTCTCACTCTACCCTGCATCTGTGACCCAGGATTAATAAAGCTGCTAGCTAGGACCTATACCCAAAGCAGCCTTGGTGTGGGTCTGGTCCCAAGGCTAGGACCTGATTTTCTGCTGGTGTGCAGCCTTTCCCTGGGTGATGAAATGCTCCACCAGCTGCGTGCTTCTGCCCCAACTCTGTCCTCAGTGTCTATATACCTCTCTGTTTGTCTCCCTATGGTGACATGGACCAGACAAAGAACTCACTGTATCTTTTTTTAGATTTCTCCATCAAGATTTGGTCTTGTCTGGTGAATTTCATAGATCTCTTTGGTGAAGTTGTGGATAGGATCTCAGCTGCATTGCTTTCTTCTAGTCTACAATCTTGGCTCTGCCCCCAACTGTCTTTCTTTTTGCTTCTACTTGTATTTCCAGTGCTTAGCACAGTGCCTGGTGCAAAGTAAGCATTAATAAAAGCTTTCTGACTTGACAAAACTAATAGCCTTTCAACTATATATGTGTATACATGTGTGTGTGTGTGTGTGTGTGTGTGTGTGTGTGTGTGTGTTCATTACATGATTTTGTCAGATGATTTGGTGTTTGGGGTTTAGGATAGAGAAACAGTAGAAATTTAACAGTCAATAAACATTAAGCACGTACTACGTGTAAAGCACTGTACTAAGCACTGGGGTTAAAAAAAAAAGGCTTCTGTCCTTGAAGGGCTTATAATCTAATGAAAGGGGAATTTTTATGAAATATATAAGCTCTCATGTATTCAGATTCATGTAATTTTTGTCACTGAAGAGCATGACCAATAGTTTGATTCATGTATACACAGTATAATCTCCAGTGGATTCTGGGTAAGTAGGTAATTACTAATTCTTCTTCTAGAGTAAATCATAAAGACAAAAGAAGCTGGCAGTAAGGATAGGAATAATCCACAGGAATTTTTAAAAATTAAGTTCCAACTATGCTAACTACATTTCTCCTTCACATACATATGGTGATAAACAGCTAAGACATGGTTAGTAAGGTAGAACAAAATGAAAAAAGTGGAAGAAAATGGCTAATAAGGAGTTGAAATCCAAGGCATGCAAGAAGAAGAGAGACCATTTTGCTTCCTTTGTTGAGGTCAGCTCACTAGCTCCATATGAACTAGATCAATATTACTACATGCAAATGTAATATTTTGTGGATATGACTGCAGAATTACTTTCATTGATCTCTGAAAAGTACTAGACAATACCTAAATAGGAGCAGTGTAGCCAGACTAGAGAAGGTAAAAATGTCTGGAATTTTTTTAAAAGAAAGAGTGTGGAGACTGAAAAGTAAGACTGGTGACTTCAACTTTCATTTCTAAATAATTTTTTTTTAAATAACATGTTACTAAAAAGAAGGCAAGTGAACATCTAGAACAGGAAATCACAAAGAACCAGTATGCCTTCATTAATAAGATGTCATGCCAAACTAATTTAATTTCCTTCATGATGTGGTTGAAACAGTACAGTAGAAAGAGCAATAGCTCTGGAATTAGAGGATCTATGATGAATTTTCAATGACAGTATGCATAACTGGTGGGACACTGAGCAAGGTAATTAAATCCTCTGAGACTCAGTTTCCTTAACTCTAAAATGAGGGCACTGGACTAGATGGCATCCCTTTCAACTCTTACAGTGTTAGACATGGGGAAAGCTGGACATGTAGCTTAGCTAAATTTTAGCCAAGAAACTGGCAAAATTTCCAAGACTTTTATTGTGGACAATATGGAATAACAAGCTACATGGTAGTATAGTTACGTGGTTTCAAAACTGTTTGAATGACTAGATTGGACAGAGAGCAGACATTTATGGGCCCATATCAACTTGAAGGTAGGGCTCCACTGACCCACCTTAGCAATCTGTCCTTGACCTTCCAACATTTTTATTAAAAACCTGGATGAAGACAACAATAACTTGATTATTAAAAGGGAATGCCACAATTAAGTATGGGATAACTAACATAAGTGACAGATTAAAAGACCCCAGCTAGTTAAAATATTAAGTGAAATGTAATAAGGCAAAATTGAATAAAGATAAATGTAAAGTCATAATTGG